AGTCCCCCCTCTCCCTTTTTCGAGGGCGGGACCACAGGGTCGCGGGTTCGCGAACCCCACACCCCCCTATAATCCCCCCTCTCCCCTTTTCGGGGATGCTGCGGGGCTTATTGGGGATGTTGCGGGATTCTCGCGCGTATCTCTCCTCTCAATCGAGATCGAGGGGAGCATACCTGGGGTCTCAAATTCGAACGGATGTGATTCCGTGCATACCTCGTTCCACAGCGTCAACAGTCACGCTATTTTGCGTTTTGTGTCCGGAGGTATGAATCGAACTCGGTACCCTGTTGACATGAAGCTAGCACGCTAGCAATACGCCAACACAGGCCACACCGAATCTGCTTTTTTTCGGCCTCATGACCTGTTAGTTTATTAAATCCAAATTTTATCTTTGTGCTATCTTACAATAAATAATAAACGCCACGCTTTCCATTTTTTGTCCCGAGGTATGGTTCGAACTCGGCACTCTTTGGGTACGAATCCATCGCTCTACCAATTACGCCAGCACAGGCCACATCGATTCTGCTTTCTTTCGGCCTCATGACTTGTTAGTTTGTTATATCTAAATATTAATTTTGTGTTATTCAACACTAAATAAATACCACAACGTGAACAATACTCTTTTTTTGTCCTGAGGTATGATTCGAACTCGGTACCTTTAAGGTACGAAGCCATCAATCTATCCATTACGCCAACACAGGCCACACAAAATCAACTTTTTTTTGGCCATATGACCTGTTAGTTTTTTTTCGTTTAAAATATACAATATCATCTACTTTGCAACGGTTTACTAATGTGATCGTCGTGGCGTCGCGCGTTAGGAGCTGGGAGTCACTGGAGAGGACGTGGTAGCAGGTTCGAGACGTGGTAGAGGTAAGCAAGGTAAGAGTAAGAGTATTAGTTCTTAACGTAGATAAGCATTAGGTAAGGTAGTGTAAAGTAAGGAGAAGGGTGGTAGCGTAGACGTGTCGCTGAAAATTAATACCACTAATATGGTAGTAAAATAATCTAATAAAAGTAAATTATCTCAATAAAAATGAAGATATCATTGTGCTAAAGAGGAAAAAAATAAATTTGAGAAGTTAATCTTTATTGCCTAAGTCCAAAGTTAAGTAAAACTGACCAATATTAAAAGTATATTAATTAAAATGAACTAATTTAACACTTTGAATAATAGTATAGATTGAAGTGAGTGAAAAGTATTATCATTGACATGTTTGAAATGAGTGAAAAACCATAGATTAGTCTATTTAAAATGGTCAAAGTCATAACTTCATCAACTATATTGATCATAATAGAATTAGATTACAAAAATTGTAATATATTTTATGAAATTCATTCAAAATAATAAATCATCGCCGAAAAACGAATTAATGAGTATATTAGTGTTTATGATAACATCAACAAATATATTAATGTTTATAATACCTATACCTATACGGTGCGTTTTTAACATATATCACTGAAAATTGTGTGAAATGAAAAACTTCAAATAAAGTTTAGTTAGTTTTATTCAAAACTTCCAATCAATGTATCACAGTATTTAATAATACAATTATATTAATTTATTCTTACAATTGCAGTAATGAAAATGACTAAAATACATTAACATTTGTCTAATTGTATAATAATATATATATATATATATATATATATATATATATATTGCTACATACTGTGTTATTATTATTATATAAATATATATATATATATATATATATATACACCTAAGTCTGTTTTTACACGGTAGATTGGTTCCAGAAGAAGCCGTGTAAAAAGACATTGATCTTATACAAAAATGGGTGATTTGTTCCTAATCTCTAAAACCTATTAAAATTAGTGAAAAACAAGAATTTTTAACAACAAGAATTCATATTTATTTTATTAAATCAAATATATAATGCTTATTTTCACAAGCATAGTAATTAATGATAAAAAAGATATGCACTCTAATCTTAAAAGTAATATAAATTAAATGTATAGCAAGTTCAGGAACTAAAAAAATATGTTGTGAACAAAAAGAATAGGTTATTCAATTTTTAAGGTAAAAAATAAAATAAAATAGAATAAGTGATAATCATAAATACAACAACATAAATTTAATTGCTGTCGTCATCAGTTATTCGCATTCGCTTTGACCAGTAAAAATTGTTTGTACGCGCTAAAGCGGAATTCACTTAAATCTTTAAGCTAGTGTTCGCAAACTATCGATACTATCGATGGTTTCAGACTTTTCACTTTCAGAAAATACTTTTTTGTGATATGAACATACTTCGCAAAAATTAAATATGACAAAAAAAATTTAAGTACATAAAATTTGAAATCGTGCTAAATGGAATAAAATCGTATAAAAAAATTAAAAATATTCAATTTTCAAACCGTGTTATATCAAAACCGTGTAGAAAAAGACCGTGTAAAAACAGACTTAGGTGTATATATATATATATATATATATATATATATATATATATATATATATATATACACAGTATGATATTAAATTAAGTGATATTTATAGCTAAGAAAAAAAAAGTGCGCCATTTAAAGAAATAATAGAAAGTATAATATTTAAACAAGAGAAAACATCGGTTTGACACATTAAATGTTTAAGGCACTCGACTGACATAATGGTTTGGAAAAAAGTAAAGTCTATTGTCAACGCGTTTCTACCGAGTCAAAGCAATGACGCAGAGTTCTACCGAGTCGAAGCAAAGGTATAAAGAGCTTCACCAAGATGCGGCAAGATGTTTGCAAACACCCAAACAGTGAAGAAACTGTTCTACACAATTGACTACACTAAAGAGTGCACTCAATTAGTATCCCTATTAATAACACAAGAAATTTTTAAAATGTAGACATGTTTAAATATTTCTGTAATTTACGTTACAGCATGATGTGATTTAGCCGTGAAGTGGCTCATAATTAAATTAAAACAACAAATTAAATTAAATACAATATATTTATTCATTATTTCATTAACATCTAAGCACTTAACTATTTAATATATCATAGTAGGCATCTCCTCTGGTGAAGAGACGGACGGACGGACGGACGGACAGCATAATTAGTAGATCAAATGATTGTTCTCACTCATGAGCAACTTGAGCGTTGAAGAGCACTTGGCTTGAAGTTGTTTACTCTATAAACGAAAACAATGAATTAGTAACAAGTCTCATAAAATATACTATAAAGAATAAATTACCTGATTAATCATGGAGCGGTGTCTTCCACGTAACCCCATTAAGACCTTCATAGTAAATCTCAACAAGTGGTTTTTATAATAACTGCATAATTAAGTTAGTGAGGTTAGTCATGTTATTGAGTTAATAAGAGTTAAGTTAATCATGCATAATTATAGACAGTCATTGAAAAATACCACTTGCGAGCCATTCACATGAATGAGTGTTCAGGAGCTTGGAAGCTCCTGAGGGTAAGGCTTCAGTAATAGTTGGATCGAGAAGATCTGCAAAAAAAAGAAACATCATAGGAATGTTCGCATTTATACTGATTATGGATGAACACATACCTGGTAAAATGTTTCTGGAAAGATTCTTGGTGAAGGGATCTGTGTGCAGAGTAGCAGTGGTTGAAAGGATCTGGAAAAAAATAAACATGTTATTTATTGTTCACATTTATACTGATTATGGATAAATCACATACTTGATAAAAGGTTTCAGGAAGGATTCCTGGTGAAGGAGTCAAAGTTCAGAGCCAAAGTAGTTGAAAGGACCTGAAAAAAAAATAAACATGTTATTTATTATTCACATTCATACTGATTATGGATAAAAACGTATTTTTTAAATTAGTTTCAGAGCGATTCCTGGTGAAGGGGTCAGTGTGCAGACCAGCAGTAGTTGAAAGGACCTGAAAAAAAATAAACATGTTATTAATTGTTTACATTTATACTGATTATGGATGAAAACGTACTTTTTATATTATTTTCAGAGCGATACTGGTAAAGGGGTCAGTGTGCAGAGCAGTAGTGGTTGAAAGGATCTGAAAAAGAATAAACATGTTATTTATTGTTCACATTTATACTGATTATGGATAAAACGTACGTTTTAAATTATTTTCAGAGCGATTCCTGGTGAAGGGGTCAGTGTGCAGAGCAGCAGTGGTTGAAAAGATCTAAAAAAAAAATATGTTATTTATTGTTCACATTTATACTGATTATGGATAAAAACGTACTTTTTAAAATATTTTCAGAGCGATTCCTGGTGAAGGGGTCAGTGTACAGAGCAGCAGTAGTAGAAAGGACCTGAAAAAAAAATAAACATGTTATTTATTATTCACATTCATACTGATTATGGATAAAAACGTATTTTTTAAATTAGTTTCAGAGCGATTCCTGGTGAAGTGGTCAGTGTGCAGACCAGCAGTAGTTGAAAGGACCTGGAAAAAAAAATAAACATGTTATTAATTGTTTACATTTATACTGATTATGGATGAAAACGTACTTTTTATATTATTTTCAGAGCGATACTGGTAAAGGGGTCAGTGTGCAGACCAGCAGTAGTTGAAAGGATCTAAAAAAAAATATGTTATTTATTGTTCACATTTATACTGATTATGGATAAAAACGTACTTTTTAAAATATTTTCAGAGCGATTCCTGGTGAAGGGGTCAGTGTACAGAGCAGCAGTAGTAGAAAGGACCTGAAAATTAAATAAACATGTTATTTATTATTCACATTCATACTGATTATGGATAAAACGTATTTTTTAAATTAGTTTCAGAGCGATTCCTGGTGAAGTGGTCAGTGTGCAGACCAGCAGTAGTTGAAAGGACCTGGAAAAAAAAATAAACATGTTATTAATTGTTTACATTTATACTGATTATGGATGAAAACGTACTTTTTATATTATTTTCAGAGCGATACTGGTAAAGGGGTCAGTGTGCAGAGCAGTAAAGGATTTGAAAAAGAATAAACATGTTATTTATTGTTCACATTTATACTGATTATGGATAAAACGTACTTTTTAAATTATTTTCAGAGCGATTCCTGGTGAAGGGGTCAGTGTGCAGAGCAGCAGTGGTTGAAAGGATCTAAAAAAAAAATGTTATTGTTCACATTTATACTGATTATGGATAAAAACGTACTTTTTAAATTATTTTCAGAGCGATTCCTGGTGAAGGGGTCAGTGTACAGAGCAGCAGTAGTAGAAAGGACCTGAAAAAAAATAAAGATGTTATTTATTGTTCACATTTATACTGATCATAGACAAAAACGTACTTTTTAAACTATTTGCAGAGCGATTTCCGGTGAAGTGAGTCCGTGTTCAATTTTCACTCGATACTCAACAATTTGCTTGATATGATTTCTTGTGGCCTCCATGTGATTTCATCTTGATGACCAGAAATAGAATGTAGAAATTTACTAGCAGTTTAAGAATTGCACTTGGTTTTATATAAAATGCATTAACATGAATTGAAAACAGTAAAAATTAAAATTTAATGTAATATGTCAAATCCACATTGCATAATCTCAAATGATTCAAACGACCACATTATTTTTCAATAGTTAAATAGATTAGTGTATTAGTATTTGTTATTAATAATAAAACTACTGATGCTACCTAACTAATAAATTAACCCACATGCAAGACATACCGTGATCATTCGAATCATGAAATTCAATGCCTTAATGATTTTGTAAATTTCTAAAAGTTATAGTGACAACTAAAGTATCGATCAATTAATATCTTGAACAAAATCACCGCTTAATAAATCTATTTGTACCAAATGCAATTCCAATAAATACCACATTCAGAGCGTCACAGTAACAATGTTCGTATAAAAACTGAAGGACTCTGGTAGCAGCGAACGCAAACCTACCCGCACCTACAAAATACACAAATTATTATTGAATTTAGTTGATTATACATACATTATTAAATGTCATTGTTGATGCGTCACCAAAGCTGTCTTCGTGTGCAATGCAGCGCTCCAGCGAAGCACAGAATAATCTTTGTTTGCATCTTTATATTCATTCAAATTGTAACTATTCTTTGTCAATTTGTTGTTCAAATTGTAACTTTTTTCAAGTAAAAGAAATAAAATTATGCATTTAAAACAAAAAATGGCTTTCATGGAAAAGTAATTTTGCTTTAAAATTCTTGATGACATGATGATTGTGGTCCAATTTACACAATACTTCTGATCTATAAATTGAAGTGAATTAGCAGATAATAATGATGTAAATAAGACTTCAAATTAAACGATCCGTTTAAATGTACTCATAGTAATTCTCAAAATGAATTAACAGTCATTATTTTTTACTTTCACAACGTTTTACTATTACTTTCGATCATTTCTTCTGCACAATGACCGCCAGCCATTCAATGGTGCACTCTTGCTCAGTCAATAAAATAATAATGTGTAGTTTTATTTAACAGTGGGCACCAAATGATGCAAAAAGAAATAATTAGATAAAATATATCCGGCGTACGTCTTAGACAGTAGTGCGACTTGAGCAAAAACTACATAAATCGAGCACACGTTTTCCAAAAAAAAAACAAATTATGAACGGTTTCAATTAAATCTAAAACATCTTAAAATACGAAATGTAATCCGAGTGAATCCGCAAAGAGAAATATAATTATCACAAGTGCAACGTACCAGGTGACGCTCGCAGGTCGCACGTACTCCACAGGCAGCGAAGGGTCAAGCCAGCTCGTCCGTGTTCGACGACGTCTCGACGTCTTCCTCCAGCAATCGCCACGATGGAAATGAACTCTCACTCGCAGTGACAACTCCCTCTCCGAACTCCTATAGTCGCAAAGCATAGATGTGCAAAAGACTTGTAGACATGCGACTGCAGAGCGTGCACTTTCGCTCGGTCGAAGATGGCGTTTCAGAAACTCGAACGCCTCTTCTGTTTTGAAATCGAAACGACGTTTATTTGAATCTTCAATTTTAACAATAAGGGTTTTATAAATTAAATAACGATATTCCATTCTTTTAATAAACTCTCTAAAAATTTACACTGCAATAAATTAGTCGTTGGTTATTGAAATAAATAAATTTGGTGTAGAATAAATTTCTAAATATACAGACAAGTTTTCACTGTTTTATTTATATATCACTCATATACATGAATAATTTTGAAATCTATTAACGAAAGCAATTTTCTAATAAAATCATAATAGTTTAGTGGAATTGCTTTTAAATTTTGATAGAAAATTTAGTTCTACATTCCTGCAACACGTGAATCCATTAAATATTATATAAATACAAACATATTTTTTTCTCAAGTTTTTGCTTACAATAAAATTACTAATGATGATACAAACTAGCCACAAAACATTTGTAAACTAGCAAAGTTAGCGCAAAAGAAAGAGTCTTACTGTGTACTTATCAAGAGTAGAGTTGGTTAAATATTTTGAAATATAAAAAAAGCAAACCAACGTCAAAAGAAAAATATTAATTAATTCAAAAAATGTTTAATATTACATTTTTCTTTAAATTTCGTTTATTTTAAATAATCAAAATCAAATGACATTCTGTGAGAAAACACAAAATAAGCAATTTGAATTATCTAGTGAAAACAAACCACTCCTTTGCAAAGTTGAAAAACAATTAACAGAATAACATATAATAAATACTACTTTTTGCATTTTATGATTATTTTAATTGATCATTACAATTTTTACAAGTGTATTTCAATAATTAAATATTTTATAACTACTTAAGACTAATTTTATAAAAAAATTAGTACAGTAATCTATGTGATTACATATTGATTTAATCAGTTAGTATAAGTTTTACAATGAAACAAAACTCTAAACAAAATTTTCATTCGAATCAAACAAGTTTCAAATCTAAATTTACTGCAATCATAATATAATAAATATTCTTCAAACAGCTTAAATGGTGTTCATAATAAAATAAAACCAATTTTCAAAATATAAAAAATTTGAAAATTTATTTTTAGAAATGTGAAAATACCATACTAGATATATGTCGAAACATACACACACACATATACATCACAAACATTATAAAGTTATTGGTATATATAAGAACGCAAGTAAATATATACACACTGTAATACTATGCTATACATAAATTTAAAATCTTGTTTAAATATACGTTGCATAACTTTAGCTTTTTTTATGCCTGTAAAGATAATTATATATTTCTCAAATTCATATTACTGCAGGCCAAAATATCAAACAAAAGTTGGAAATTTTGAGACTATTCTCCCTTCCTGATAGTTACCAGAGCAACAGGGAACGCGCAGGAAAAATTATAGCTTCACTAAAGGTTGAACACATTCAAACGTTGTTAATATTATTTATATTTTTATTACTTTTTATTCCTCCAGGCCAAGAATCCTGCCTACCATCTAGATTTCGACACCAGGATTTACATTTCTCACATGATCCAGCCAACAAGGCAGCGCTTCAACGCAATTGCCAAAATGTTCTACGACTCGGATATCGTGTCTATAGATTTCACAATAAATAAAAATAACAGTGATGGTACTGTCACCAAATACGATAGTGCTGCCATTATGAATCAGTGGGTTGCCAATGTTACAAGGAGACACATCACGGAATTGGTCAACCACGGCAGGTGGTGAATTTTTAATAAAATTGATTTTTATTTGACCACATATTGACAAATTTATTTTTATATCCGCTCCAGCGGATGTTTATGGTGCTGTTGAACGTCATATACTTTAAATACAACGTTGGGAAAATTCTACCTGGATGTCGATAAATAAATTACATAAAAAATAAATTAAATTTTAATATATATACTAGATGATCCAACAGACGTTGTCCTGTACCCACGTCTACATTTTTTTACAATCCTCTACTAATATATACAGTTCACCTAACAATAATAAGAATGTTTTTTTAATTACTCTTCACACCAAAATGCATATACATCATTATGACTAATCTTAACTGCTTTAGATAAAATGATGAGTCTCAATTTCCGCACTAAATTGGAAATTGAAGTCTTTTAAATGGTACAACAAAATCAGAAAAAATTAATATAGTATCAGCGGTAAAAGTACAATACTACCTTGGATTTTTTCTAATTGTTCAATAATGTTGCCTACAATTTTTAATGGGTTTTTAGTAATTATAATATCTAAATTAAATCTTTCTTAGTAATAATTTAATATACATTATTACCAGAGATGCTCAGCGCCCGCTTTGCCAATTCCCTCCTATTATTTTACCTGTTTTAACCATAGACCTTATATACATGGACTGCTAGTCCCCATACATTTCTCATTATTTATTATGTATATTATGATATTCAATTATTAAGATGCTTATTGTAAGACAATGAGATGAAAACAAAATGAAGATATATTATTAATAACAATTTTTGATTCTTTTAATTCATTACTTGTTTCTAATGGGTTCAATTGAAGTTTTAAAACTTCTCCTATGAATAGAATTGTTCCACTTGTCTTGTCTTGAATGAAAAACATAAAAGGTGTTGTTGCCGAGAAGAATACCTCGCGATCGTTGCCAAATTTATTGGTCAGGACAATTTCTAAAGAATAATATGTAATATTATACACATATAAAGAAAAGACATATACAGGGTGCCTGGGTATGTATCATTTAATACATCATTACCTGTAGCAGCATATACTGTACTTCCTTTCCCGTTAATTTCAATGCCAGTCTTTTGGATTATTCCAGATATTGATAATGTATCCTGTGGCGATAGCCCTCTTGCAATACCAGGCAGTGAGGACGTAGTTGGACTGAACACTGACTGCAGGCCCATCTAAATAATAAACTTTCAATTTCAAATCGAATAATTCTAAATAATGATGCTCTCGATCAGTAGAGGCCTTACCTCTTTTAAAGTATCAACAAGTTTTGCTTTAAAATCAAACTTGTACTTTGGTAAGGTAACATTGAGTTCAACTTCATCTATTAGCCACAATTGCTGCCTCATAAATTGATTACTCCATTTGTTTATAGAAAACATTTGTTGATTTTTTTTATAAATATATACAGGGCCGTGTCTGGTCAGCATGCAGTGCGTGCACCGCGGCGGCCAAACAGAAAAAAACAACAAATTCAAAGGCGGCCATAACAAAAAGTGGTCGTAATAAATAGCTGTCGCATTAAAAGTCTACTGAATTAAAAGGCGGCCAACTCATTCGCTGCCGTATTGAAAGTCCGCTGTATATATCTAAAAAACCACCGTAGTAAAAATCAGCCAAAGGCGGCCGTATTTAATGCGAGAGCGAATCAAAAACAGGAAAGTCTAAGCTCTGTTCACAAATAATTTTTAAGTGTAAAAACTTGGTGTAAGTGGCAAATTGCGTAAACTTTCCAACATGTGTTAATAATCCGCTTAAATATAAAAAATATATTAATTCAAGAGTACATTGCAATGTGAAAAACTATCGCAGTTTGTAATGGTTTTTGAATTTTCAAAATCGATTCACGAATGTAGGCTATATATATAACGTGGACAAATAATTTG